GTCAAACATAAATATCATTTATTTCCATTATCAAATGGGGATCCTTTTCTATTTTTGCTGCATTAAATAAGATAATATAGCACACTATTACCACAAACTATTATATTTCATACTTAAATACTTTTAATATTTTAAATTTAAATAATATCCAATAATTTAAATTTAAATTTTAAATATTATATTTAAAATTGAAAAAAAATAAAGTCTATTATATATTTCAATTTAATTACTAAAACATTGATACTTCAAATTATATTATTTCAGAAACTTATATTTTCTCAGAGAGGAGAGGGACAGAAAACCAACAGGGAAGACTGAAGAATAGGCAAAAATAACCTTGGCAAACACTTTGGATTTAAACCAGCAACGGAAAAAGCACCACCAACGGATCTAAGTAGAGGACTTAGATATAGTAGAACGAACCACAAAAGTATTGAAATTCAGCTAAAAATTTTTATTTTTCATTTTTTATTTTTCTTTTCCAAACAGCACAAAAAAATCAACATTATCAATTTTCACCAACATTCAATTCAGATCCTCCAAAAGCACTTGAAACAATTCTTAGCTTAAGTTCCTCTAGTGTTCAAATTCCATTTTTATTTCAACCGGATAATCTGTTCCACCAGGATATGTCACTACGGATAAATCACTATTTCCCGCGGCCTTTTCTGGCGGTAAAAATTGAAACCTTTCCGCGACATTTTTTGTAGTATTGCCGACGGTTTTTCTGGGCGTTAAGTTAACCCGCCGATAAAAACGGCGTAGGAAAAATAAAATTCCGACGGTCTAAAACGGCTTGTTCAAATTAAAAAAAAAACTCACGTAATCGTTACCCATTCCCCGCGATCGCACTCTGCCGCACCAGGGCGCACGCGGCGACCCGCGCTCATGCTCCGGCTGGCTTTGCCGGCGCCGGTCCGCTCCCGCTCGGTCCGGCAAATCGGCTGCCCGCGTCGCCGGCGCGCCCCTGACCTACGCCATGGCGCTCCTCTGCGCGGTTGTTGCGCCGCGTTTCGCGTCTGCCTTGAGGATCGAACAGGGGTCGGTCAGTTGGGAAAAATTTCGACGTACCTACCGATGTGCCAATTGTAAAATGTGATTTTATAATAGTCAATATGGTTTTTATTTAACTAATTCTGACCGTAATTAAATAAATGTTTAAATTAATTAAAAAAAAATTTAAATATAAAAATTAAAATGAACTAATTAATTTAAAATAAAAAATAATATTTAAATATAAAATTAAATATTAACTAACTAATTAATGTTTAAATGAATATTAATTAAAATAGTAATATTAACTTTTAATTATTATTTGTTAAAATCATTTAATAGTTTAAAATTTTTACTTTTTTTTTAATTTTCTAAAAGCCATCGGAAAACTGGAAAAGTCGCACGGAAAAGACTGGGGAAAAAGCCGCAGAAACTTTAATTGCGAAAAGCCCCCAAAAAAGTGATTGCCGGAATTTTCCTGTAGTTTTGGCTGGAAATTGGATCCGAGATTTGCAACCAAGAAATTAAGTTCCCCGGAAATATATCATACTCAATTTATTTATTTATTTAAAAAAGAGGGATAATAATTGCAAACAATAATGCCAACTGTGCTTAGTCAAAAAGAAGAACAATAATTGAAGAAAATTTATACATCAAATCGTCGCATTCAACATTAATAATAGAGAGAAGAGAGTGACAGAGAGATGGGGAAAGAGAAGACCTGGAGAGAGACTAAATAGTTTATTCTAATATTTTAAAAAAAATATTTAAAATAATATTTAGATTGATATTTAAATAATATAATAAAATAACATTTAAAAAATTTATATAAAAATTGTAAAATTATAATTAATATTTAATTATTATATTTGGAAATTAAAATATTTTAATAATTAGTTAATTAATTTAGTTAAATAAATATAAATTTTTGAATAATGAAAAAAATCCCGTAATTAGAAAATTTTAATCAAAATCACTTAATTTTACTTTTTTTGGAATTTATTTTTCTGCATAAATTTTTTTTTAATCTTAAATAAAAATGAATAAATTTTAAAAATTTTCATTTTATTAAGGTTTTGTCAAAATATTGTAACATAAATTTTGCCCTAAAATAATGAAAAATTTGATCCTAAAAACATAGAAGAGGAATGTTCTTAAAAAATAACGAAAAATTTAAAAATCATTAAGTCTATTTAAGATTAATAAAAAACAAAATTTAAGCTAGAAAATTAATTTAAAGAAAAATAGGAATAAATTTATTCTTCTTTTCCATGAAAATACATTAATTGAGTGTTAAATTCATCCATATCTCTCTCTACATTGTCCATATGAAGTCCTCCAAGCCTTTCAATTATTTATAATTTAAAATTTTATTAATTGATTTAGAGCTTATTAATTTTTTTTTTGAGATAATATATATATATATATATATATTATATATATAATATATATATATTTATATATATTA